GGAAAGCTAACGGCCAAATTAGTCATTAGAGCTGCGCAGGGGATATGAATCTGCAAAGGAAAAGATAATTTGCTTGTAGCTGCAGCCATCCAAACCTCTTTAAATCCAAGTCATCTTTTCCTGATTCTGGCCAGTCAAAGAAAGACACAAATTCTCCCTGTGTGGTTGATCTAAGTCACCTTTTCTTGTGCAACTGAATTTCTGCACAACTACTCAAGTGCGTGGTTTTTTGGTATTATGCCGGAATCTTGCTGTTTCTTTGTTTCCTTTTTACCTGCTGCGCCGTTTCAATTCTTTCATTTTCCATACCAAAAGAAGAGAATCCTTTCAAGAGAATGTTCTCTGTAGACTCTGGCAACGTGGCTGTGAGCGTCACTGTTAATGATGGCTGGACAAGGCTATTTAAATCTTCTATGGGCAGCTGTTAAAAGGGGGAAAAAACTATTCAGTTGCCATCCTATGAAGCTCATAAGTCTCCTGGCAGTTGACAGTATTGTACAAGTAAATCATGTCTGCTTGCTAAGTGATAAAATATGGAAGTGAAGTCTTTAAATACTATATGTATACATACAATATACACATTCAAATGGAGTCATATTTAAGTAACAAGGGAGAATCAGACCCTGATAAACACGCCCCAATCCTTGCGTAGCAATAAGACTCACTGGGTCCAAGAGCCAAACTGTAATATTAAACTGCAATCAACATTAAGATCATGCTAGAAAGCCAAGCTGCATAATTTTACCCATGTAATCTTGACATCCAAAATTCCAACTAATATTGATACAATTTTCACTCTCCTTTCCCTAGTTTCTGTACATTAAGCTTTCAAAATAGTAAGAGTGTCAATAACATCTAATCGTATTGTGTGTAAACAGTACAAATGAATCAGGTTTGCAACCCAATGAAGGAGAATCTTTGTAGCTCAGGGTTGAAATGAGGGGTCCGGGGGGTGGGGGGTGGGGCTCTGAGACTGGCGGTTTTCTTGCAGACATTTCATGACCCAACTAGGAGGCAGCCTCAGTGCTGGGAGGCTTTGCTAGAGCAAACCCCACCCCCTCCCTTCTAGACCGACGAGGGTGGTGACAGTGAGGAAGACAATGTCAGCCACCTGGTCGCGTATGGCTCTTGGCGATTCTCTCCCCAGTGTCTGATCTTGGCCCTTGGCTTCGCTTTTCCAAAGGCCGCAAAGGGGATCACGTGACCCTGGGAATACCGCAGGAGTCAAATATGAGTCGTTTGCCAACCCTCTGGATTTTGGATCCCATGACCACGGGGATGCTGCAACGGTCATAAGTGTGAAAAAACGGCCATAGGTCCCTTTTTTCAGCGCTGTTGTAACTGAACGGTCGCAAAATGAACTGTTGTAAGTCGAGGACTACCTGTAACCTTTCCAAACAGCGTTTGCAGGTAGTCCTTGAGTTACCACCATTCGTTTAGTGACTATGCTGCGTCTTTTGAGTCCTTCCATGCTGTCCCTGGCTGGGGGTCGGCTTTGATGCTGGGCAGCCACCCTCTTCTTTGGCGGCCGCTAATTCCTCCCAACTATAACCGCTCCCTCCAGGGAATCCCCCCCCCCCCGGGCGTGGCAGGGGGAGGAAGAGAGATGCCCCTTCTGACACGGGGATGGTGTGGCTGATGATCAGGATGAAGCGCCTAGTTGGGCAAGGAAAAGCCTGCAAGGAAACAACCAGGCTCAGGTTTACAACAAAAGGGGGGGAGGGAAGGGAGGGCACCCCAGGAGTCCCCGAACTTGGCAGCTTTAAGTCTTGTGGACTCCAACTCCCAGAATTCCCCCTCCTCTTCCAGGAGGCAGGTGAGCTCGGGAATTCTGGGAGTGGAAGTCCGCAAGTCTCTTCCACTTGCCAGTTCGGACGCCCCGAGAGGGCCCCTCCTTCCCCACCGACCAGGATCCTCCCAGGCGCTTCCGCGTGGCTTCCTTTCCTCCGGCCCAGCCTGCTGCAAGGGCAAGCAGCCACCCCCTCCCTCCGGATCCAGGCGAAGCGGGGGCCCCGGGCGCTGCCGGGCTGGGAGCCAGCCTACCTCGGGCGGAAGGGGCAGCCCCGGCGAGGCCCCGCGCAGCTCCAGCACCGAGTCCCGCTGCCGCTCGCTGAGGGGCGCCAAGGGCCGCTCGGGGCGCTCCCACCAGCTCAGCCGCTCCGTCGCCATCCTCCGCCCCGGAAGCCCGCAGTGCCGACGGGGCGGAAGAAGAACCCCGCCGGCCTACGGAAGCCGACGCAGACAAACACCCGCCGGGAGCGGAGCCACTTCCGGTGTCCGGAAGTGGGTGGCGAGCGCGACCCTAGACTTGCGAACGTGAGAGTGATCTATGGGAGACGATTTCAAGCCCGCTCTGCAGTTATTTGGCACGCCGTTCTTTGCGTTTCCCTCCAAGAGGGTCGTTTCCTCGTCGCCCCCCGAAATGCCTGCAGGGCACCCCAACATTGCCCTCCCCCCCAGTTGCTATTTGGAGGAGGGGGTGCCCCAAAATCCAAAGGAAGAATGAGGCTAATGTCTATGGAGGCTCTCATTCATTCATTCAGAGGGCATGGATTGTCCCAAAGGTGCTTTTGTTTTAAAGGCAACTGATAATTCTTACAAGAAAAAGAAAACGTTTCTCAAAGAAAAATCAGGAATTTTTCAGCTGTCTTTCAAATAAAATCGCCTTTGGGGCTCTCAAGGCTAATAGCATTTATTTAGGTATTTATTTACCAAAAACAGAGAGGAAGCATTGGGTCTCAAGGCGAGAGTAACAGCATTTTAAAATATTTTTTTAAAAAAAGATAAAACAGTTTCAAGTTTGAAGACTAGTGGCACTTATTCATTCATTTATTAAAAATAGGAAACAAGTTGTATTTATTCTGGTTTTCAAAATAAACGTAAAGTTTGTTCGATGGGAAACAATGGGCCCCAATAGGACAGCATTTATTTAAAGACAAACAGAGGAAAGAATGAGTTTCAAGGCCAATAGAGTTTGTTTACTTGTTTATTTTTTAAAGAAACAGGCTAAGAGTGTTTATTCAGCTGAAGACCCCAGCTGAGCCATCTTGGCATTCTAAGCTGCAAAGCGGGTTGTCCTTCGATATCAATCCGAATACTAATTCCATTAAGAAATGCAACATATTTTATATGATAAAAAGGTTTACATTTGATAATTATCAACAGCAAACAAGAAAAAACATTATCAAGCCAGTCCATCCAGAATTTTCCAGAGGCAAAAAACTCCCAAGTATATTCCCACTAAAATTCTCCCTTTAAAGAGAATTGTTAGAGTAGAATTCACCACCATATCATAACCCTTCTTAAGTGACTTCATGACGAGCAATGGGTGATTGATACGCATATGAAGTTGCACCATAGTCTTCGTTTATGGAATCTTGATGGTGTAAGATGTGACCAAATGACAAGATCAGATCAGGGAGGATAAGTTGACCTGTAGCTGTTAGTCACAATGGCTGCATGGAACCTTCTGAATATTAGACCTGGATACCAGTTGCTAGGAAGGCAAGGTGCATTACCTTCATGCTTTTCTCGTGGACTGTCACAAAGGATCCAGTGGTGCATTTTAAAAAGGATGCTGAATGAGTGGTGAACCATCCTTTGGAACAGGGACGTCTGCAAAACTCATAGTGATGGCAGCTTTCTGTCAGCCTCCTTAGTGCCAGCAAAGAGGCAGCAGAATAGCAGGTAAAAACCGTGCACCAGCAATTGCTGAATCATTCAATCAAATGAATCCAGTCTAATCTAATCAATCAATCAATCAATGAGTTGAATCTGAATTTCCCAATCTTTACTTCATCCCGTCTCCATAGCTAGAACAAAGTTGGTAGAACTGTGATCGAGCAGAGTTGATGTACCTTGGATTCTTTCCTACTTTAAAAAGCTCTGCTCCATTTGTGAGATACAAAATGGCGGATGCTATCCCTCTCTCTTCTTTCTATGGAAGACCCAGTCCTCAATGGTTGGCCAATTTGGGGAATCTTCCGCCACGCCTAGGTGCCCTTCATTCTGAGGGTACATAAGGGATCTTCCTATGCCCGGGAAGTTTCCTCACTGACATCGTAGTTACTACAGAGGTGGGGTACCTCTGAATATTAGATACTATCTCAAGGTTAGCCTGGGAGGGGTAGATGTAACCTTGGTTGTTTTGCATGTTACCTTCTAGATCTTTATGTTGTGTTTGGACAGAGCTGCTGCTAAACCACTAAGCCGCCCATCCAAATGATTTACTGGACTGAGTTAAGAGAAGAGCCCCCTCAATACTGTACTGTACCAAAAACTCAGAGATTGCCTTATTAAAATGAGTTGGTATCTCTGTTCTGTCCTTAAAACAACTGTTCTTTCTCCTTAGGCAATCTCAGGGAATTACGAAAAGGGATTAGGGCAACCCCACCCTGTGAGTTCTTGATGGTATGGACTCTGACCTCCAATTCTGTTGTTTTACTGTCCAGTTTGGACAGTACAATCATATGCGGAGGCTGACACCTAAGTTTCTTTGTTTCCCTTTAATTCTTGTTCCCTTTGGGGAAGGTTAATTAAAATAAAGCATATGGTGACCAGCTCAGCTTTATAACTCATACCTTGGTTATGTTCTCCAGCAAACAGAGGAGATCAAGTACCCCATAACAGAATTCTTTTATTAGTACAATCCGTGAAAAAAGCTACTTTTGATGGAATTACATGCCCGCCGTTTCAGCTCTGAAGCCTGTGATGCAAAGGAGTTTCACTCAGACTTTTGGGACAGTCGTGACCTGGGTGACTGAGAATCTTTACAGAGTTTCATCCAGAGTTCCAGAAAGGGAATATAAAGCTTTCTGAATATCAGACTGATGTATTTTGAAATGTCTTCTGGAATCTTTGATGCTCAGAGCCAAGTCTGAATTCAAAAGCATCACTAAACAAATATAATAATATTGATTCAAATATTGTGCATTTCCTTAGAAAAGCACATTTATCATAATTGAAGAAGTAATAATAGCAATGCTTTTTCCTTTCAGAAAACAGTCTTGTTTCATGCCCTGGAAATATGTCGAAGACCCCAAGCCCCACAAAAACTGGTAGCAAAAAACAGTTGCCTTTGGAAGCATCTCCAGATCCAGCATCCAAGCCAGAGAGTAGCAAGTTTTCCAGCTCTCTGCTCACCGTTGAAAATGTCAAAAAACACCAAGAGGAGAACCTCTATTGCCAATGGTCAATAGAAACTTATATTGAAGAAAGTAATCGCTTTCTGAATGAGAGCGGAACCAAGGCGGAGGGCAGCAGGGAGCAGGCGGTGTCAAATGAAGAGGAATCAAGAGTTCTTCGTGAAGGTTGCCCAGAAAACACTGATCAAACTTTAGGAAAAGGTAGCTATAGCTTATTTTCTTTATACATATCTGGAGGTGCATTCCTTGATAAACTGTTCAACGTGTGCCTGAGATGGCTAGCCTAAATATTATTTTAAAGATCAAAAGCATCTGGAGATGGATTGGTCTAGGTCAAGGAAGTGATAATGGGGTGTGGTGTTTTCTTCAAGAGGGGCTGAAATCCATCCCCTCCCCCAAATTCTCCTGCACACTGGAAAGAAAAGATGTTCAGCAAAACAATTGGAAGATGCGTGTGTCTCTGAGGCCTGCAGCTTGGAAGGTCCCTATCCTTGTCCCCTTGATAGATAAGGACCCATGTAAAACGTCTTGCAAGGACAGGATGCAAGACATAATCCGTGACATGAAATATTCTGGAATGCATTAAGTGAATTGACTTCAATTCTCATTACAAAAAATCCCATCTAACCAACAAATTAAACAAAAATCAAATGTGACAACTTTAATGTATTTGAGGATTAAGTTACAAATTATTGGATAATCCTGTAGTCGTGTATCTTGTAGAGCTGATGAAAGCAACTTTCCCACTTTTATTATTTGAAAAAAATTTTTCTCCCTCCGTGTAGATTTCCAGACAAGGCCTCTGTCAGCTCCAGTTCCTGAAACGCAGTCACCCAAGTAAGAGGCATTTCTGCCTATTTCAGTCACATCCTTTCTAATAGTAGGAATTGCACTAGGTCTGTCATTCTAAAGTAAATAGTTAAGTGGGGCAACCAGATCTGCAAAAATTGCTCACTAGATGGCAGCAAAAAAACAAAACCATAGAACTATCTTTAATGTATGGTGCCATCTAGTGGCTCCACTTCATCAGTGCAAGTGAAGGAGAGAGTTCATTTGAATTTTTTTTTTTTTATCCTTAACAGCCAAGAGGGAGGCAGAATCAAATTCAGTTGTTCTCTTTCCTATTTCTTTCTTTTTTTTTCATTTTTGATAGTTGGAAGATTTAGAATGTATATAGAGTGTAACAAATATTATGGATTAGGTAGAAATAGAGCAATTTATTTTGGCACTGTTACCAACGTAACTACATGAACACTCTCTGATTTGACAGATTCATAAATATAGAGAATGAATATTTTCAGCTGTTTTCGATGGCCTTACTACCAAGAATGTACACATATTTTTTTTTATAATTTACTTTTGTGAAATGGATTTAATATATTTGTCTAAGCATTTTGAAAACATTTGCAGTTAAGTGAATAAATAGTCCCTCTGATAACAGCAGAGCATTTGTGGGGGGCTTCCTGAATGGGAAATTTCTTCCAGAATTTGTTTTGCCTTCCTGCAGGAAACGGGAAGTTGCTGATTTGGAGACTCAGACTGAGTGGAGCTACTCCGTCAGCTCTGAAGACTCCAGTGAGCTGAGTAAGTTCTGGAGGAGGTTCTGGGCTGAGAGGCTGGGCCTCCCGGGGGGGGCTGGGGGGGGG